TCCAGGGGACAGAGAGACAGGGCGTCTTGGAGGGTGTGTAGCAGTCCAGGGGACAGAGAGACAGGGCGTCTTGGAGGGTGTGTAGCAGTCCAGGGGACAGAGAGACAGGGCGTCTTGGAGGGTGTGTAGCAGTCCAGGGGACAGAGAAACAGGGCGTCTTGGAGGGTGTGTAGCGTCCAGGAGACAGAGAGACAGGGCGTCTTGGAGGGTGTGTAGCAGTCCAGGGGACAGAGAGACAGGGCGTCTTGGAGGGTGTGTAGCAGTCCAGGGGACAGAGAGACAGGGCGTCTTGGAGGGTGTGTAGCAGTCCAGGGGACAGAGAGACAGGGCGTCTTGGAGGGTGTGTAGCAGTCCAGGGGACAGAGAGACAGGGCGTCTTGGAGGGTGTGTAGCGTCCAGGGGACAGAGAGACAGACAGACAGAGAGACAGGGCGTCTTGGAGGGTGTGTAGCAGTCCAGGGGACAGAGAGACAGGGCGTCTTGGAGGGTGTGTAGCGTCCAGGGGACAGAGAGACAGACAGACAGAGAGACAGGGCGTCTTGGAGGGTGTGTAGCAGTCCAGGGGACAGAGAGACAGGGCGTCTTGGAGGGTGTGTAGCGTCCAGGAGACAGAGAGACAGGGCGTCTTGGAGGGTGTGTAGCGTCCAGGGGACAGAGAGACAGACAGACAGAGAGACAGGGCGTCTTGGAGGGTGTGTAGCGTCCAGGAGACAGAGAGACAGGGCGTCTTGGAGGGTGTGTAGCAGTCCAGGGGACAGAGAGACAGACAGACAGAGAGACAGGGCGTCTTGGAGGGTGTGTAGCGTCCAGGGGACAGAGAGACAGACAGACAGAGAGACAGGGCGTCTTGGAGGGTGTGTAGCGTCCAGGAGACAGAGAAACAGGGCGTCTTGGAGGGTGTGTAGCGTCCAGGAGACAGAGAGACAGGGCGTCTTGGAGGGTGTGTAGCAGTCCAGGGGACAGAGAGACAGGGCGTCTTGGAGGGTGTTTAGCAGTCCAGGGGACAGAGAGACAGGGCGTCTTGGAGGGTGTGTAGCAGTCCAGGAGACAGAGAGACAGGGCGTCTTGGAGGGTGTGTAGCGTCCAGGGGACAGAGAGACAGACAGACAGAGAGACAGGGCGTCTTGGAGGGTGTGTAGCAGTCCAGGGGACAGAGAGACAGACAGACAGAGAGACAGGGCGAGATAGTGATCACAGACAACGCCTTCCTCTCCGCCCAGGGCTGTACGACGCTAAATATTTGTAAACACACTACTCGAGTGTGTGAGGTGGAGACTACTCGAGTGTGAGGTGGAGAAGGGACTTCATACATCAACAACAAACAAGTAGCTGATAAATGCCGCTAGAAGCTCGTGTTGAAGTGTGAGGGGTGAGGGAGGGCGAGGTGTGAGGGGTGAGTGAGGGTGAGGTGTGAGGGGTGAGGGAGGGAGGTGTATGAGGGGTGAGGGAGGGAGAGGTGTGAGGGGTGAGGGAGGGTGAGGTGTGAGGGGTGAGGGAGGGAGGTGTATGAGGGGTAAGGGAGGGAGAGGTGTGAGGGGTGAGGGAGGGTGAGGTGTGAGGGGCGAGGGAGGGAGGTGTATGAGGGGTAAGGGAGGGTGAGGTGTGAGGGGCGAGGGAGGGAGGTGTATGAGGGGTGAGGGAGGGTGAGGTGTGAGGGGTGAGGGAGAGTGGTGTATGAGGGGTGAGAGAGGGTGAGGTGTGAGGGGTGAGGGAGGGTGAGGTGTGAGGGGTGAGGGAGGGAGGTGTATGAGGGGTAAGAGAGGGAGAGGTGTGAGGGGTGAGGGAGGGTGAGGTGTGAGGGGCGAGGGAGGGAGGTGTATGAGGGGTAAGGGAGGGTGAGGTGTGAGGGGCGAGGGAGGGAGGTGTATGAGGGGTGAGGGAGGGTGAGGTGTGAGGGGTGAGGGAGGGTGGTGTATGAGGGGTGAGGGAGGGTGAGGTGTGAGGGGTAAGGGAGGGTGAGGTGTGAGGGGTGAGGGAGGGTGAGGTGTGAGGGGTGAGGGAGGGTGAGGTGTGAGGGGGGGTGGTGTATGAGGGGTAAGGGAGGGTGAGGTGTGAGGGGCGAGGGAGGGAGGTGTATGAGGGGTGAGGGAGGGTGAGGTGTGAGGGGTGAGGGAGGGTGAGGTGTGAGGGGTGAGGGAGGGTGGTGTATGAGGGGTGAGGGAGGGTGAGGTGTGAGGGGTAAGGGAGGGTGAGGTGTGAGGGGTGAGGGAGGGTGAGGTGTGAGGGAGGGTGAGGTGTGAGGGGGGGTGGTGTATGAGGGGTAAGGGAGGGTGAGGTGTGAGGGGCGAGGGAGGGAGGTGTATGAGGGGTGAGGGAGGGTGAGGTGTGAGGGGTGAGGGAGGGAGAGGTGTGAGGGGTGAGGGAGGGTGGTGTATGAGGGGTAAGGGAGGGTGAGGTGTGAGGGGCGAGGGAGGGAGGTGTATGAGGGGTGAGGGAGGGAGAGGTGTGAGGGGTGAGGGAGGGTGAGGTGTGAGGGGGTGAGGGAGGGTGGTGTATGAGGGGTGAGGGAGGGAGAGGTGTGAGGGGTGAGGGAGTGAGGTGTGAGGGGTGAGGGAGGGTGAGGTGTGAGGGGCGAGGGAGGGTGGTGTATGAGGGGTGAGGGAGGGTGAGGTGTGAGGGGTGAGGGAGGGTGAGGTGTGAGGGGTGAGGGAGGGTGAGGTGTAAGGGGCGAGGGAGGGTGAGGTGTGAGGGGCGAGGGAGGGAGGTGTGAGGGGCGAGGGAGGGAGAGGTGTGAGGGGTGAGGGAGGGTGAGGTGTGAGGGGCGAGGGAGGGTGAGGTGTGAGGGGTGAGGGAGGGAGGTGTGTGAGGGGTGAGGGAGGGTGAGGTGTGAGGGGTGAGGGAGTGAGGTGTGTGAGGGGTAAGGGAGGGAGGTGTATGAGGGGTAAGGGAGGGAGAGGTGTGAGGGGTGAGGGAGGGTGAGGTGTGAGGGGTGAGGGAGGGTGAGGTGTGAGGGGCGAGGGAGGGTGAGGTGTGAGGGGTGAGGGAGTGAGGTTAGTGAGGGGTGAGGGAGGGTGAGGTGTGAGGGGCGAGGGAGGGTGAGGTGTGAGGGGCGAGGGAGGGTGAGGTGTGAGGGGTGAGGGAGGGAGGTGTGTGAGGGGTGAGGGAGGGTGAGGTGTGAGGGGTGAGGGAGTGAGGTGTGTGAGGGGTAAGGGAGGGAGGTGTATGAGGGGTAAGGGAGGGAGAGGTGTGAGGGGTGAGGGGTGAGGGAGGGTGAGGTGTGTGTGAGGGGTGAGGGGGGTGAGGTGTGAGGGGCGAGGGAGGGTGAGGTGAGGGAGGGTGAGGTGTGAGGGGTGAGGGAGGGTGGGTGTGAGGGGTGAGGGAGGGAGGTGTGAGGGGTGAGGGAGGGTGAGGTGTGAGGGGTGAGGGAGGGTGAGGTGTGAGGGGTGAGGGAGGGTGAGGGTGAGGGAGTGAGGGAGGGTGTGTGAGGGGTGAGGGAGGGTGAGGTGTGAGGGGCGAGGGAGGGTGAGGTGTGAGGGGTGAGGGGGGTGAGGTGGAGGGGTGAGGGAGGGTGAGGTGTGAGGGGGTGAGGGAGGGGTGAGGGGGGTGAGGTGAGGGGTGAGGGAGGGAGGTGTGAGGGGTGAGGGGAGGTGAGGTGTGTGAGGGGTAAGGGAGGGAGGTGTATGAGGGGTGTGTGAGGGAGGGGGAGAGGTGTGAGGGGTGAGGGAGGGTGAGGTGTGAGGGGTGAGGGAGGGAGTGTGAGGGGTGAGGGAGGGTGAGGGTGAGGGGTGAGGGAGGTGAGGTGTGAGGGGGAGGGAGAGGTGTGAGGGGTGAGGGAGGGTGAGGTGTGAGGGGTGAGGGAGGGGAGTGAGGTGTGAGGGGTGAGGGAGGGTGAGGTGTGAGGGGTGAGGGAGGGTGAGGTGTGAGGGGTGAGGGAGGGTGAGGTGTGAGGGGTGAGGGAGGGTGAGGTGTGAGGGGTGAGGGAGGGTGAGGTGTGAGGGTGAGGGAGGGTGGTGTATGAGGGGTGAGGGAGGGTGAGGTGTGAGGGGTGAGGGAGGGTGAGGTGTGAGGGGTGAGGGAGGGTGGTGTATGAGGGGTAAGGGAGGGTGAGGTGTGAGGGGCGAGGGAGGGAGGTGTATGAGGGGTGAGGGAGGGTGAGGTGTGAGGGGTGAGGGAGGGTGAGGGGTGAGGGAGGGTGGTGTATGAGGGGTGAGGGAGGGAGAGGTGTGAGGGGTGAGGGAGTGAGGTGTGAGGGGTGAGGGAGGGTGAGGTGTGAGGGGCGAGGGAGGGTGGTGTATGAGGGGTGAGGGAGGGTGAGGTGTGAGGGGTGAGGGAGGGTGAGGTGTGAGGGGTGAGGGAGGGTGAGGTGTGAGGGGCGAGGGAGGGTGAGGTGTGAGGGGCGAGGGAGGGAGGTGTGAGGGGCGAGGGAGGGAGAGGTGTGAGGGGTGAGGGAGGGTGAGGTGTGAGGGGCGAGGGAGGGTGAGGTGTGAGGGGTGAGGGAGGGAGGTGTGTGAGGGGTGAGGGAGGGTGAGGTGTGAGGGGTGAGGGAGTGAGGTGTGTGAGGGGTAAGGGAGGGAGGTGTATGAGGGGTAAGGGAGGGAGAGGTGTGAGGGGTGAGGGAGGGTGAGGTGTGAGGGGTGAGGGAGGGTGAGGTGTGAGGGAGGGTGAGGTGTGAGGGGTGAGGGAGTGAGGTGTGTGAGGGGTGAGGGAGGGTGAGGTGTGAGGGGCGAGGGAGGGTGAGGTGTGAGGGGTGAGGGAGGGTGAGGTGTGAGGGGCGAGGGAGGGTGAGGTGTGAGGGGTGAGGGAGGGAGGTGTGTGAGGGGTGAGGGAGGGTGAGGTGTGAGGGGTGAGGGAGTGAGGTGTGTGAGGGGTAAGGGAGGGAGGTGTATGAGGGGTAAGGGAGGGAGAGGTGTGAGGGGTGAGGGAGGGTGAGGGGTGAGGGAGGGTGAGGTGTGAGGGGCGAGGGAGGGTGAGGTGTGAGGGGTGAGGGAGTGAGGGGTGAGGGAGGGTGAGGTGTGAGTGGCGAGGGAGGGAGGTGTATGAGGGGTAAGGGAGGGAGAGGTGTGAGGGGTGAGGGAGTGAGGTGTGTGAGGGGTGAGGGAGTGAGGTGTGTGAGGGGTGAGGGAGGGTGAGGTGTGAGGGGCGAGGGAGGGTGAGGTGTGAGGGGTGAGGGAGGGTGGTGTATGAGGGGTGAGGGAGGGTGAGGTGTGAGTGGTGAGGGAGGGTGAGGTGTGAGGGGTGAGGGAGGGTGGTGTTTGAGGGGTGAGGGAGGGTGTGGTGTGAGGGGTGAGGGAGGGTGTGGTGTGAGGGGTGAGGGAGGGTGGTGTATGAGGGGTGTGGGAGGGTGAGGTGTGAGGGGTGAGGGAGGGAGAGGTGTGAGGGGTGAGGGAGGGTGGTGTATGAGGGGTAAGGGAGGGTGAGGTGTGAGGGGCGAGGGAGGGAGGTGTATGAGGGGGGAGGGAGGGTGAGGTGTGAGGGGTGAGGGAGGGTGAGGGAGGGTGGTGTATGAGGGGTGAGGGAGGGAGAGGTGTGAGGGGTGAGGGAGTGAGGTGTGAGGGGTGAGGGAGGGTGAGGTGTGAGGGGCGAGGGAGGGTGGTGTATGAGGGGTGAGGGAGGGTGAGGTGTGAGGGGTGAGGGAGGGTGAGGTGTGAGGGGTGAGGGAGGGTGAGGTGTGAGGGGCGAGGGAGGGTGAGGTGTGAGGGGCGAGGGAGGGAGGTGTGAGGGGCGAGGGAGGGAGAGGTGTGAGGGGTGAGGGAGGGTGAGGTGTGAGGGGCGAGGGAGGGTGAGGTGTGAGGGGTGAGGGAGGGAGGTGTGTGAGGGGTGAGGGAGGGAGAGGTGTGAGGGGTGAGGGAGTGAGGTGTGTGAGGGGTAAGGGAGGGAGGTGTATGAGGGGGTAAGGGAGGGAGAGGTGTGAGGGGTGAGGGAGGGTGAGGTGTGAGGGGTGAGGGAGGGTGAGGTGTGAGGGGCGAGGGAGGGTGAGGTGTGAGGGGTGAGGGAGTGAGGTGTGTGAGGGGTGAGGGAGGGTGAGGTGTGAGGGGCGAGGAAGGGTGAGGTGTGAGGGGTGAGGGAGGGTGAGGTGTTAGGGGCGAGGGAGGGTGAGGGGTGAGGGAGGGAGGTGTGTGAGGGGTGAGGGAGGGTGAGGTGTGAGGGGTGAGGGAGTGAGGTGTGTGAGGGGTAAGGGAGGGAGGTGTATGAGGGGTAAGGGAGGGAGAGGTGTGAGGGGTGAGGGAGGGTGAGGTGTGAGGGGTGAGGGAGGGTGATTTGTGAGGGGCGAGGGAGGGTGAGGTGTGAGGGGTGAGGGAGTGAGGTGTGTGAGGGGTGAGGGAGGGTGAGGTGTGAGGGGCGAGGGAGGGAGGTGTATGAGGGGTAAGGGAGGGAGAGGTGTGAGGGGTGAGGGAGTGAGGTGTGTGAGGGGTGAGGGAGTGAGGTGTGTGAGGGGTGAGGGAGGGTGAGGTGTGAGGGGCGAGGGAGGGTGAGGTGTGAGGGGCGAGGGAGGGTGAGGTGTGAGGGGTGAGGGAGTGAGGTGTGTGAGGGGTAAGGGAGGGAGGTGTATGAGGGGTAAGGGAGGGAGAGGTGTGAGGGGTGAGGGAGTGAGGTGTGTGAGGAGTGAGGGAGGGTGAGGGGTGAGGGAGTGAGGTGTGTGAGGGGTGAGGGAGGGTGAGGTGTGAGGGGCGAGGGAGGGTGAGGTTTGAGGGGCGAGGGAGGGAGGTGTATGAGGGGTAAGGGAGGGAGAGGTGTGAGGGGTGAGGGAGTGAGGTGTGTGAGGGGTGAGGGAGGGTGAGGTGTGAGGGGCGAGGGAGGGTGAGGTGTGAGGGGCGAGGGAGGGAGGTGTATGAGGGGTAAGGGAGGGAGAGGTGTGAGGGGTGAGGGAGTGAGGTGTGTGAGGGGTGAGGGAGGGAGAGGTGTGAGGGGTGAGGGAGGGAGAGGGAGGGTGAAGGGAAGTTTAGAAGTGGGAAATACAGTGAGAGCTATGATAGCAGGCGAGCTGTCCTCCTTGCTGACACTGTGGTTCCCCCTCTCTGGCCCCTCATCAGGGGCTAGGGAGAGGGACGCTTGCAGGAGAGGGGCTAGGGAGGGGGACGCTTACAGGAGAGGGGCTAGGGAGGGGGAAGCTTACAGGAGAGGGGCTAGGGAGAGGGACGCTTACAGGAGAGGGGCTAGGGAGAGGGACGCTTACAGGAGAGGGGCTAGGGAGGGGGACGCTTACAGGAGAGGGGCTAGGGAGGGGGAAGCTTACAGGAGAGGGGCTAGGGAGAGGGACGCTTACAGGAGTGGGGCTAGGGAGGGGGGACGCTTACAGGAGAGGGGCTAGGGAGGGGGAAGCTTACAGGAGGGGGGCTAGGGAGAGGGAAGCTTACAGGAGAGGGGCTAGGGAGGGGGAAGCTTACAGGAGAGGGGCTAGGGAGGGGGAAGCTTACAGGAGAGGGGCTAGGGAGGGGGACGCTTACAGGAGAGGGGCTAGGGAGGGGGAAGCTTACAGGAGAGGGGCTAGGGAGAGGGACGCTTACAGGAGAGGGGCTAGGGAGGGGGACGCTTACAGGAGAGGGGCTAGGGAGGGGGAAGCTTACAGGAGAGGGGCTAGGGAGGGGGACGCTTACAGGAGAGGGGCTAGGGAGGGGGAAGCTTACAGGAGAGGGGCTAGGGAGGGGGAAGCTTACAGGAGAGGGGCTAGGGAGGGGGAAGCTTACAGGAGAGGAGGGTGAGTGACAAGGGGAAGATGGGGGGAGAGGAGGGGATAGAGTTGTATGAAGAAGGGTTGTTCAGGGGGGCATGGTGGTGATGCTGGGGGAGAGAGGGGGGGGATGTTGCAAGGGGGAATAGGAGCTATGGAAGGGAGTACGGGATGCAGGAAATGAAAAGTATGTGTGAGACGTGAGAAAAGCAAGGGAAGGGTGAAGGGAAGCAAGGGAAGGGTGAAGGGAAGCAAGGGAAGGGTGAAGGGAAGCAAGGGAAGGGGTTAAGGGAAGCAAGGGAAGGGTGAAGGGAAGCAAGGGAAGGGGTTAAGGGAAGCAAGGGAAGGGTGAAGGGAAGCAAGGGAAGGGGTTAAGGGAAGCAAGGGAAGGGTGAAGGGAAGCAAGGGAAGGGTGAAGGGAAGCAAGGGAAGGGTGAAGGGAAGCAAGGGAAGGGTGAAGGGAAGCAAGGGAAGGGGTTAAGGGAAGCAAGGGAAGGGTGAAGGGAAGCAAGGGAAGGGGTTAAGGGAAGCAAGGGAAGGGTGAAGGGAAGCAAGGGAAGGGTGAAGGGAAGCAAGGGAAGGGTGTAGGGAAGCAAGGGAAGGGTGAAGGGAAGCAAGGGAAGGGTGAAGGGAAGCAAGGGAAGGGTGAAGGGAAGCAAGGGAAGGGGTGAAGGGAAGCAAGGGAAGGGTGTAGGGAAGCAAGGGAAGGGTGAAGGGAAGCAAGGGAAGGGTGAAGGGAAGCAAGGGAAGGGTGAAGGGAAGCAAGGGAAGGGTGTAGGGAAGCAAGGGAAGGGTGAAGGGAAGCAAGGGAAGGGTGAAGGGAAGCAAGGGAAGGGTGAAGGGAAGCAAGGGAAGGGGTGAAGGGAAGCAAGGGAAGGGGTGAAGGGAAGCAAGGGAAGGGTGAAGGGAAGCAAGGGAAGGGTGAAGGGAAGCAAGGGAAGGGTGTAGGGAAGCAAGGGAAGGGTGAAGGGAAGCAAGGGAAGGGTGAAGGGAAGCAAGGGAAGGGTGAAGGGAAGCAAGGGAAGGGTGAAGGGAAGCAAGGGAAGGGTGTAGGGAAGCAAGGGAAGGGTGAAGGGAAGCAAGGGAAGGGTGAAGGGAAGCAAGGGAAGGGTGAAGGGAAGCAAGGGAAGGATGGAGGGAAGCAAGGGAAGGGTGAAGGGAAGCAAGGGAAGGGTGGAGGGAAGCAAGGGAAAGGGTGAAGGGAAGCAAGGGAAGGGTGAAGGGAAGCAAGGGAAGGGTGAAGGGAAGCAAGGGAAGGGTGTAGGGAAGCAAGGGAAGGAACAAGCTGGCAGTGCTAGAGTAAGCAGGTAATTGGAGCCATTATTGCTCTTTGATCTATATCTCCACCTGTACTGCCCAAACATGAAGGGTAATTGATCTCTGCATCGTACATGTAAACCTTTGTTGCCAAGTACACATGCAGTGCCACTATAGCTTGTGCAACACCATCATGTCAACACTCTGGGGCAATAATTGATATAGCAAGAAGTACACTTCACTCTCCCCCCTTACTGGATATGTCCGAAACGGATTGGTATTTTCCTCCAAACATTCATTCACACCTGTAATAGTCAAACACACCTGTAATAGTCAACACAACTGTAATAGTCAACACACCTGTAATAGCCAACACACCTGTAATAGTCAAACACACCTGTAATAGTCAACACAACTGTAATAGTCAACACACCTGTAATAGCCAACACACCTGTAATAGTCAAACACACCTGTAATAGTCAACACACCTGTAATAGCCAACACACCTGTAATAGTCAAACACACCTGTAATAGTCAACACACCTGTAATAGCCAACACACCTGTAATAGTCAACACACCTGTAATAGTCAACACACCTGTAATAGTCAACACACCTGTAATAGTCAACACACCTGTAATACTCAATACACACCTGTAATAGCCAACACACCTGTAATAGTCAACACACCTGTAATAGCCAACACACCTGTAATAGCCAACACACCTGTAATAGTCAACACACCTGTAATTGTCAACACACCTGTAATAGCCAACACACCTGTAATAGTCAACACACCTGTAATAGTCAACACACCTGTAATACTCAACACACACCTGTAATAGCCAACACACCTGTAATAGCTAACACACCTGTAATAGCCAGCACACCTGTAATAGTCAACACACCTGTAATAGTCAACACACCTGTAATAGCCAACACACCTGTAATAGTCATCACACCTGAAACAGCCAACACACCTCTAACAGTCAACACACCTGTAATACTCAACACACACCTGTAATAGCCAACACACCTGTAATAGCTAACACACCTGTAATAGCCAGCACACCTGTAATAGTCAACACACCTGTAATAGTCAACACACCTGTAATAGCCAACACACCTGTAATAGTCATCACACCTGAAACAGCCAACACACCTCTAACAGTCAACACACCTGTAATAGCCAACACACCTGTAATAGTCAACACACCTGTAATAGTCAACACACTTGTAATAGCCAACACACCTGTAATAGTCATCACACCTGTAATAGTCAACACACCTGTAATAGCCAACACACCTGTAATAGCCAACACACCTGTAATAGTCATCACACCTGTAATTGTCAACACACACATGTAATAGCCAACACACCTGTAATAGTCAACACACCTGTAATAGTCAACACACCTGTAATACTCAACACACACCTGTAATAGCCAACACACCTGTAATAGTCAACACACTTGTAATTGTCAACACACCTCTAACAGTCAACACACCTGTAATAGTCAGCACACCTGTAATAGTCAATACACACCTGTAATAGTCAACATACCTGTAATAGTCAACACACACCTGTAAAAGTCAACATACCTGTAATTGTCAACACACCTGCAATAGTCAACACACCTGTAATAGTCAACACACCTGTAATAGTCAACACACCTGTAACAGTCAACACACCTGTAATAGTCAACACGCCTGTAACAGTCAACACACCTGTAATAATCAACACACACCTGTAACAGTCAACACACCTGTAAGAGTCAACACACACCTGTAATAGTCAACACACACCTGTAAAAGTCAACATACCTGTAATAGTCAACACAGCTGTAATAGTCAACACACCTGTAATAGTCAACACACCTGTAATAGTCAACACTCCTGTAACAGTCAACACACCTGTAATAGTCAACACACCTGTGATAGTCAACACACACCTGTAACAGCCAACACACCTGTAATAGTCAACACACACCTGTAACAGTCAACACACACCTGTAACAGTCAACACACCTGTGGTAGTCAACACACACCTGTAACAGTCAACACACCTGTAATAGTCAACACTCCTGTAACAGTCAACACACCTGTAACAGTCAACACACCTGTGATAGTCAACACACACCTGTAACAGTCAACACACCTGTAATAGTCAACACACACCTGTAACAGTCAACACACCTGTAACAGTCAACACACCTGTGATAGTCAACACACACCTGTAACAGTCAACACACCTGTAACAGTCAACACACCTGTGATAGTCAACACACACCTGTAACAGTCAACACACCTGTAACAGTCAACACACCTGCAATAGTCAACACACCTGTAATAGTCAACACACCTGTAATAGTCAACACTCCTGTAACAGTCAACACACCTGTAATAGTCAACACACCTGTGATAGTCAACACACACCTGTAACAGCCAACACACCTGTAATAGTCAACACACACCTGTAACAGTCAACACACACCTGTAACAGTCAACACACCTGTGGTAGTCAACACACACCTGTAACAGTCAACACACCTGTAATAGTCAACACTCCTGTAACAGTCAACACACCTGTAACAGTCAACACACCTGTGATAGTCAACACACACCTGTAACAGTCAACACACCTGTAATAGTCAACACACACCTGTAACAGTCAACACACCTGTAACAGTCAACACACCTGTGATAGTCAACACACACCTGTAACAGTCAACACACCTGTAACAGTCAACACACCTGTGATAGTCAACACACACCTGTAACAGTCAACACACCTGTAACAGTCAACACACCTGTGATAGTCAACACACACCTGTAACAGTCAACACACCTGTAACAGTCAACACACCTGCAATAGTCAACACGTGCCCTCTTGTCCCATGCCCACACCTTACCTCCTCTTACTACCCCTAACCCTCGTTATCCATAATGCTACATGTTGCCCAACATGTCCTGGCGATGTTGCTTGGTAAACGGAAGAGAGAAGTCTTGGCTGTACAAAACTGTAATTTCAACACAATTACAACTCGAAAAGAACATTTCACTGGACGAAGTGATCTCCTCCTGCTTCTCATCCTTTTTTAAACTGATCAAAACACTGTGGAATTTCCTTAAAGTCTTCATTCATACCTCAGTCATGTTCGCTTTCACCCCTCAATTCTCGGAGCTTTCCCCTGATAATTCCCTCTCTCCTTCAACTCTTGGCACTTTCTTGCTCCAAACCTTATTGAATCATATTGCAATATATTAGATATCAAATTCTTTACAGTTGCAATGAAATTAGCAAGAATGCACCTTGCAACTCTATCCCCTGCAATGTTGCAAGCCATGATGGCAGGTACCCTAGTAGTCGTCAGCCACCATACTCTCCCTTAACAGCGCCTTACCGTATCCAGCAGAAATGAAAGGGAGGAAACAAGGAAAGCTCGTTCAGAAGGCTTTTAATATCACATCTCTCTCTTTACCAGGGTTAAACAATATTTATCTACTTTAATTACTTCATTATTTTGGGGAGCTCATATGCTTCTAGCTGCTGCTTCTCTGCCTATCTTGTCCTCTCAAAGAATACATCATATTTTGAGGCCAAAATCCCCGACAAACAAAATACGGCACATTATTAATCATAGCGGCTGACAAACAACTACGTGTTCTATGCCTGGTTGGTTAGGTTAGGTCCACATATTTTAGTACATTGATTTTTGTCTGTTGTGGCACCTGAAGAAGACGGCTCAACAACCATGTGGGAACACCAATACCTAACTTTTGTGATCGGAATGTTGTGGCAGTTTCCGTACAGATGTTTGAGGCAGCGGTATTAGGAACGCAGGTGACGTAGTGTGCTTGCTACCCATGGCAGCAGATCTGATTGTACCAACTTTCTTCTTCTGGGTACACTGGGATGTCCCAAAGAAGAAGGGTTTAATTATGGCCCGATTGGCAGTTGTTAGCGTCATGTTAATGACGTCGTTTAGCTTGTTGGATGCTACCATGCACTGTGGGGACAGGTGTTTTTAGGGTGTGGACAAAATGGTCATTAGCTGAGATGTCGTCATATTCCTGTTGGCTATTATGGGAGTGAACTTATGTCTGTTGAGTTGGTTCTGTTCCACCATATCGTATTCCTCGTCCGGAATGGTGTTGATGTCCCAGAGTGGAAGTCCCTGAGGACGGAGATGAGAATAGGAGGAGAAGGGGACCCCCACCAGGTAGAGGGTGTTGAGGACGGAGAGAGTAACGATGCTCACCCCGTCGTGGTGTCCTTGCTCAGATATACTCCATCCACCCACGCAATTTTGTAAATTAAAAGACTGTGTGACGTCTGGTATTCCATTTTCGGTTGGGTCTAGCCTGTAATAGAACACGTAGAGTTGCTGAAGGTTGTTTTGGGGTTTGGGGTTCTGTTTGGGTATGAAGTCTGCATTACAGGGATTACCCAAAAGCGGCGTGGCTGAGCTAATGTTATATGAGAGGTCATGTCGCCAGTCGGCTGACTTGAGCCTGGAAATTCCGACTAGAGACACGCCGGCTTCCAGCACTAATGGCTTATCTAAAAAGACCCTCTCAGCTATTAGAGGGTCGGTGTTCAGGCCTTGGCCATAGTGGTTGCTCCGGCTCACTTCTGGGTAGACGCATTCTCTTCCCTGCCTGACGTGGGTGTAGATCCAGTAGTCGTATATTACGATGTTAGTGTCGTGATCGACCTCAGGCCACTTGCTCAGGGCTTCCTTGATGAAGTGAGGCGTTACAGCATACCCCCACTGAACCTGAACAGCACCTCGGAACACACGCGAGGGATTGAATGTTCGATCAGAAAAACCTGTGATTGAATGAGAGTTAACGCAGTAGAGTGTTGGGTCTGCGTGCAGGAGACCAAGGGTCTGGCTCATGAAAGAGAAGAAGTCTGGCGAGACCTCGACATCCTCGTCGAGGAATATAACCGCCGGGGCGTCGGGGAAGGTGCGGGCAGCCACCTGGAAGACACTGCGGTAGTAGCGGAAGAGCTTGCTGTTGCCTTCACCCTGGACGGTAAGCTTGATAAAGTTGACGCCGAGAAGACGCAGGAGTCGCGTTGTTGACGACGGCGCGTCGCCGAGAACGACGAGGACGTTCTGCTGCTGTGCGCCGGGTGTTGCCAGCAGAGTGGTGAGTGTGTGGTAGAGGTACTGGTGTCTGCTGCCTGCCGTCAACACCACCTTGACACCTGCCAGGACCCATTGCCGCTCCACGGGTGGGGCAGAGGGCCATGGCAATGGATCAGGGGCCGACTCGTCACAGAGGCCGCCCATGGCACCGTGAGCTGCACAGTACTGCCAGCGATCTTTCTCCACCAACTGGTTCTTACCGACTGTTGATGGTGGCTGCAGGTGTGACAAAGGGAGGATGACGTGGGCAGAGTGTGAGGCGATGCCTTGGATAATGCTGGTCTCTGAAATGGTTCGTCCGCCCTTGATAAACACCCATGTCCAGTGAGCCCTGTGCGTGAGATGGAGTGCCATCAACGACCCTAGCTTCGCCAGGCATTGGGCGGCGTGGCGAAGACCCATAGTACCTGACACTGCCACCGTCATCGCCACGATTCGCCCAGGCGCCACCCGATCCAAGTGCCATTCCAGGTCTGCCCAGTGTGCCCAGTAGGACCCGAGCGCGAACACCTGTGGGAATACGCACAATATTATTTGTTATGGGCAGCTAACCATAGGCCCCAGACTACAAGACTGACCACAGACTGAATGCATGAAGCCTCCAGTGTCTTCTCTAGCAGCTATTGACCAGCTGTAATCTGTTTTAAAGGAAGTTACACTTAAGTTGATCTAATTATTATTGTTAAGGAATATTTGTATAAAATGCCATTCCTGATAATCAGGTTAATCCATGACTGAGCATTGTTAAGCCCTTACTCTGTCAAACTCGCGGTTTACCTTCACTATCATTACCAGTAAAGTGTATTGATTACCAGTAAAGTGTATTGATTATCAGTAAAGTGTATTGATTACCGGTAAAGTGTATTGATTACCGGTAAAGTGTATAGATTACCGGTAAAGTGTATTGATTATCAGTAAAGTGTATTGATTACCAGTAAAGTGTATTGATTATCAGTAAAGTGTATTGATTACCGGTAAAGTGTATTGATTACCGGTAAAGTGTATTGATTACCAGTAAAGTGTATTGATTACCGGTAAAGTGTATTGATTACCAGTAAAGTGTATTGATTACCAGTAAAGTGTATTGATTACCAGTAAAGTGTATTGATTACCAGTAAAGTGCTGGTTAATGTCTACCAGAGGTAGGACACTGAAAATTCATGGGTGTAAAATCAGGCTGACAGATTTTTTTTAACTGCAATTACAGAACGAGAAAGGTCTGTCAGATATGAGAGGGGGAGGGGGGGAGGAGTGACCTCTTCAAACATGTGAGTAAACGAGCTCATTCAGTAGGTACTCAGGAGTCAGTTTGTTGTGGGGTTGCATCCTGGGTGCGGTCAGTAATTCAACCTGGGAGAACCTCAATATAAGCCTAACGTGTTTGAATACACTCTGGCTGCCTGTCCCCAGACACAATGAATAATAATAATTATTATTAATTATACTGAACACTTGCTGTGGCTTAATGATGCATTGGAACGAAATTTAGTGCTTAGATTCACTTATGAGATTAAGAGAGGAGGAAGCCTACCTTTCCTAGATGTATTGGTCACGGAAAGGAATGGTGGCCTCAACACTGCAGTCTACACGAAGAAACCAACAGAGGAATGCCTTAATGGTAAGAGTGAGAGCCCTGATTGGTACAAGCAGATTCTTGTCAGTGCCTATGTCAACCCGAGCCCTCGCGCACAGCTCCAATTGGAAGCTGGTTGACGAGGAACGTGGTAGAGTAAGAGAGGTCCTGATCAATAATGGATACTCCAACAGATATGCCCAGGAAATCATCAAATCGAAGGTGAGCGGCCTCGCAACTTCAGATATAATAGACATTAGTATGTTATTGGTTTCCACTATTAAAATATTCTACAGAACTGTCTTCTCCACGACCCATAAAACAGAAGAGAGGGTCCTGAAAAACATTATTGATACATATGTGACCCCTACTGATACCAACAGAAGACTGAAGTAATAGTTTATTATAAGAGCAAGATGACTGTCAACTTGCTCGTGAAGAACTCTCCTGACACCAAACAAAGCCCCCTGAGAGACGAAAGTTGTTTATGACTTCACTTGGTGACTTTCAACTCCAACGAATTCAGTATATAGGCAAGACAACAACATCCCTTTCAAGACGCCTAACACTGCCCAAGCACAGCCCAAGCCCAAGCAACCAACACCATACTGCACCAGTCATCATGCTAACACTAGAGTGTCACTCACCATACTGCACCAGTCATCATGCTAACACCAGAGTGTCACTCACCATACTGCACCAGTTATCATGCTAACACTAGAGTGTCACTCACCATACTGCACCAGTCATCATGCTAACACCAGAGTTACACTCACCATACTGCACCAGTCATCATGCTTACACCAGAGTGTCACTCACCATACTGCACCAGTCATCATGCTAACACCAGAGTGTCACTCAGCATACTGCACCAGTCATCATGCTAACACCAGAGTGTCACTCACCATACTGTACCAGTCATCATGCTAACACCAGAGTGTCACTCAGCATACTGCACCAGTCATCATGCTAACACCAGAGTGACACGCAGCATACTGCACCAGTCATCATACTAACACCAAAGTGACACGCAGCATACTGCACCAGTCATCATACTAACACCAGAGTGACACGCAGCATACTGCACCAGTCATCATACTAACACCAGAGTGACACGCAGCATACTGCACCAGTCATCATACTAACACCAGAGTGACACGCAGCATACTGCACCAGTCATCATACTAACACCAGAGTGACACTCAGCATACTGCACCAGTCATCATACTAACACCAGAGTGACACGCAGCATACTGCACCAGTCATCATACTAACACCAGAGTGACACGCAGCATACTGCACCAGTCATCATACTAACACCAGAGTGACACGCAGCATACTGCACCAGTCATCATACTAACACCAGAGTGACACGCAGCATACTGCACCAGTCATCATGCTAACACCAGAGTGACACGCAGCATACTGCACCAGTCATCATACTAACACCAGAGTGACACGCAGCATACTGCACCAGTCATCATACTAACACCAGAGTGACACTCAGCATACTGCACCAGTCATCATACTAACACCAGAGTGACACGCAGCATACTGCACCAGTCATCATGCTAACACCAGAGTTACACGCAGCACACACTGGACTAACAAGTGAGGTGCTTCTCCTTCACCTCATCCTCGGGTACATATCATTTAGGAAGAACTTTCGTAATCTATCGATCTCTGCCTTTGACAATGTTAACAAGAGTTAACGAAACGCATGTCTTATTGTCAGGCCAAACAATAGTGTAAAAAAAAACTTTGGAGAGTTAATTTTTCAACTTCCTTCTCTAGAGAAGATTCGCACTACAATCACTGAGCTCGCCCTTTAGGTCACGTTTAATAATATATGCCTCCAGGAAAGACTGCTACCAAAATATGTTAATATATCTGTATATATATATTTTGTACCTGATGGGCAATGTTGCCTAAGAAGCCGAATTGTTCTGAATTATAAAATTTTGTCAAACTTGTTTTCTTTTGGAAATATAAAGCTTTCTATTTCTACATATCACTACATATTGGTACTTTATGGTGGCCCATCACTACATATTGGTACTTTATGGTGGTCCATCACTACATATTGGTACTTTATGGTGGCCCATCACTACATATTGGTACTTTATGGTGGTCCATCACTACATATTGGTACTTTATGGTGGTCCATCACTACATATTGGTTTTTTATGGTGGTCCATCACTACATATTGGTACTTTATGGTGGCCCATCACTACATATTTGTACTTTATGGTGGTCCATCACTACATATTGGTACTTTATGGTGGTCCATCACTACATATTGGTACTTTATGGTGGTCCATCACTACATATTGGTACTTTATGGTGGCCCATCACTACATATTGGTACTTTATGGCGGTCCATCACTACATATTGGTACTTTATGGTGGTCCATCACTACATATTGGTACTTTATGGTGGTCCATCACTACATATTGGTACTTTATGGTGGTCCATCACTACATATTGGTACTTTATGGTGGTCCATCACTACATATTGGTACTTTATGGTGGTCCATCACTACATATTGGTACTTTATGGTGGTCCATCAATACATATTGGTACTTTATGGTGGCCCATCACTACATATTGGTACTTTATGGTGGTCCATCACTACATATTGGTACTTTATGGTGGTCCATCACTACATATTGGTACTTTATGGTGGCCCATCACTACATATTGGTACTTTTGGTGGTCCATCACTACATATTGGTACTTTATGGTGGTCCATCACTACATATTGGTACTTTATGGTGGCCCATCACTACATATTGGTACTTTATGGTGGCCCATCACTACATATTGGTACTTTATGGTGGCCCATCACTACATATTGGTACCTTATGGTGGCCCATCACTACATATTGGTACTTTATGGTGGTCCATCACTACATATTGGTACTTTATGGTGGCCCATCACTACATATTGGTACTTTATGGTGGTCCATCACTACATATTGGTACTTTATGGTGGCCCATCACTACATATTGGTACTATATGGTGGCCCATCACTACATATTGGTACTTTATGGTGGCCCATCACTACATATTGGTACGTTATGGTGGCCCATCACTACATATTGGTACGTTATGGTGGTCCATCACTACATATTGGTACTTTATGGTGGCCCATCACTACATATTGGTACTTTATGGTGGCCCATCACTACATATTGGTACTTTATGGTGGTCCATCACTACATATTGGTACTTTATGGTGGCCCATCACTACATATTGGTACTATACTTGGTGGTCCATCACTACATATTGGTACGTTATGGTGGTCCATCACTACATATTGGTACTTTATGGTGGCCCATCACTACATATTGGTACTTTATGGTGGTCCATCACTACATATTGGTACTTTATGGTGGTCCATCACTACATATTGGTACTATACTTGGTGGTCCATCACTACATATTGGTACTATACTTGGTGGTCCATCACTACATATTGGTACTATACTTGGTGGTCCATCACTACATATTGGTACTATACTTGGTGGTCCATCACTACATATTGGTACTATACTTGGTGGTCCATCACTACATATTGGTACTTTATGGTGGTCCATCACTACATATTGGTACTATACTTGGTGGTCCATCACTACATATTGGTACTATACTTGGTGGTCCATCACTACATATTGGTACTTTATGGTGGTCCATCACTACATATTGGTACTATACTTGGTGGTCCATCACTACATATTGGTACTATACTTGGTGGTCCATCACTACATATTGGTACTTTATGGTGGTCCATCACTACATATTGGTACTATACTTGGTGGTCCATCACTACATATTGGTACTATACTTGGTGGTCCATCACTACATATTGGTACTATACTTGGTGGTCCATCACTACATATTGGTACTATACTTGGTGGTCCATCACTACA